ACATTCGTCATCCCTAAATATTTTTTGGCTTGTACCAAGGAGGTCTCTGGATCGAAAGCCGGAAGCCACTAAGGCCCTGATTTTCTCATTCCTTTTGTCACATCATAGCAATTGCACTTTGGAAATGCTAATTTATGGCCCGTAACTTTGAGTTCTTTTCAGTTCTTTAGTAATGGGCAATTCAGAAAATGTAAGTACTTCCTTTTATATTCCAACTGACTTTTAAATTTGATGTATTATATGTCATTGTTTTAATTATATGTATATTTAGTAACATCGTATGCAGTACCAATATTTTATGTCTCACCACAAAAGTATAAGATCCGTTTTTAACTCAGACGTATCGAAATATTTTGCCTTGCTTCAGTTCTTTTCCGCTTTTATTAATCGTGTGTATAGAGTCTGTTCATACGAGTGAGCTTTAGGACTGAACTTTACAGTGTAGATCTGGTGGTCCCAAATATGTTTCTCAATATATTGATCTGAAGACCGATCTTCTTCTTAAAGTGCCTATCCGTTCCTGATGTTGGCTATCAGCATAGCAATTTGAGCTCTACTGGCTGCTGCTTGAAACAGCCCTCCAGTGGACATCGAGAACCAAGTTTTAGGTTCTGAAGCCAGGAGATTCTTGGCCTGCCAGGTCCCTTATTTCCGAATACTTTTCCCTGGATTATCAGCTGAAGCAGCCCGTATCTATCACTATTTCTCATGATATTACCGAAATATTCCAACTTTCTCTTTTTATGGTCTTAACAATCTCGACGTCTTTGCGGAGTTTCTCGAGAACTTTTTTGTTGGTTACACGGTCAATCCAGGAAATTCTGAGAATACGTCGGTACAACCACATTTCGAAGGCCTCCAACTTTTTTGAAGAAGCTTCGGCCAACGTCCACTATTCAGCGCCGTATAAAAGCACGGAGAGAAAACAACATCTGAGTAGTCTTAACTTGGTGAAGACCGATGCCCCTCCCAATTTTTATTGACTTCAACCGAGCACAGAGGTTGAGTGGTTAGCACTCTTGCTGTGGTTGGAGGATCCTGATCGTGAACTTAGATGCTGTCTGTCCTGTTTGATGATTTTTAAGTCTAGCTGTGCATGAGGTACGTAGGTTATATTCTGTACATTTTTAAACGAAAAGCGGCCTTTGATACATTTCTTAGTGCCAGTGCTTGCGCTCTCATTTGTACCTGTGTCTCTGTAAATAGCCAACGTTGGGCATTTCTTCACTTATCGTCTAATTCTATCACATTTAGATCAGTCTAAAGCAGTTCGTCGATGCCTTTCAGATATGTTTTATGTGAGTGTGTGTGAATTCTTCTGCCATAGTTCATTGTCGCCTTATTCAGTTGCCAATTCTCCCGTTTGAGCCGCCAGACCACTAAAACTAGAGGAATATAAATAAATATTTTACTATGCAAGTAAAGCTGTCCCACTCACGCCATGGATGTGTTTTGGGGGGAGATGTTGCATAGCTCCTACTCGTTCTTGACCTCGGTACTAGAGTAGAGTGACTGGTCAGTGTCATGACCCGGCCGTGCTTTACTCCCGAGGGAAGGGCTCCCGGTAATCATTGGATGGAGGGCTATGTCGGGCTCCAGAGCCGGTCTGAATGAAGAGGCTAAATATACATTTCTATGTCCTGCTGGGGATCGAACCTTGGTCGTTAAAATACCTTAGTACTGTGGTGCAATTTTGGGGGAAATTAAATAATACCGCAATTTAAAGGATCTGATTTCTAGACCAGGTTTTGTCACTGACTGTAAACGTTAAATACAAGACGTAAGATGGTAGCCATGAATTTAAAGGCGATTAAATCAGCAAGCTGGAGCACCCGTTCAGCATATTTGCTGTTTCTATAACCAGAGAACTAAATAAATAAAAACAATTTTTCTTTAAATCTAAGAAACAAAGTTTTCACTAAGGAAAAGGAAATTCTACAATATTACTGGCTGACGTTTGTTCGAAAGGAGGGAAGGTCAGGCGTTAAATGAAACTGCGTGAAAATCGAACCTCTTATTAGATTAGGCCTATAGGTGTCAGAACACAGAAACCCTGTGTGTGCGCTTTATAAATGGATATTGTTTTGCATCCCACATTGCACTCTTGACCATGTGACTGATGGTGGTTTGGTCTGTCCAAGTTACTAATTTAGTGAACGCGCATCGTTTCTTATTCGTTATTTACCGGAAATTCATAGACTGGACGCATAATGGGGAGATTGTTCGCGCTTGTTTCTCCGAAAATCTTGTTTGAGTCCAACCAACTTAACGCAGTTGGTTGACATTTATTGTCAAGGCTACATTAAAAGCTGTCTGGAAAATATTATCCTAATTTGTATCTATTCACTGTAAACCTTATCTTGCATAACATTTATATCAAACATTATCAGATTCTTTAAAAACAAGGTAATATCAAAACGTGGGTCTGAATGAATGCGGAACTGAATAAGGTTTGCAGGTTTTATGTCTAACATGTTTAGACATGGTAAATTATATGATTAATGAAATTAAAAGTATAATTCAAAACGTATCCGTAAAGTGTTAATTTTTCTTTGCTGAACTTGCACGCAAATCAGACATTGAATTTCCCTGGTGTTTTAGCGTTTTATTGGTCCTTTGCTTTTCAATTGCCTTGCTCCACTAGCGTCATCAACATGGCCGTACCTCTTAAAACATGTAACAAAGAAGTTGGCCTGAGGCGATTTGGCTTTTGTGAGCTGAAAGTGTCAGAGATGCGGAATTTCATTGCCGATCATCAGCATAATATGGCGACAGTGTTTCACCATAGTGAAGTGTGTAGAATGGGTGGAAATGATCAGAGTTACCCAACAATCGTCACTGATGAAAAATGATCACGGCGCCCATACACAACGA